GTAAAATATATCAGATAAAATGTTCAAGTTGACGCCCAAAGCTCTGAATTCGATCATGTTTGTTTCGTATCAGTTCATTCTATGCCCTCACTATATACCTTTCTCTACGTTGAATGACTCGTTATCAACTTTCTTAACTGTTCTCAGAAATGATAATTGCAAGATCCTTTTAAAGAGAAGTGAACACTTTAGACGAAAAGCTAAAAATATATTTATTAATTTTCAACTTAAATAACGTTAAATTAGCTATGCTTATTATCAGCAAGAAACAAATTTAGCAATAATAGCTCGTGAATGTCTGACTTGTAAAAAATGATTAGAGAATTCGTTGTCAGTCTTGTTGAACAAAGTGTTGTTATCATCGTATGTCAGTATTCCGTGTGTGTATTACACTGTACTTTCTTCACCGGCTTCATAAAATTAGTTTTACGAAATTATACTTTATCTACTCATAAAGCCATCCCCCTGGTTGTAGAATTTAATCACTAATTAACGCTTTGAATTTTGGATCCCCTAAGGTTAACTTTATTATTCATTTCAGTTGGTCCCTTTTTTAGTATTTTGGTAAGTGACAAGGGAAGCAGTATATAAATTTGAGATTCACCTGACTAGAAGATTTAGCCAAGCAGGTGCAGAATGTGAACCATGAAGGTTTTGTACTATAATAAAAAGTGGTGGCTAGTAAGAAAAAAAAAAGGAGATGATAAAACTGTTTACTGGATGTTACGGTTTAAGGAGCGTTTTGCTGCAATTGGAAGTTTAAAGTCTAATAAGAGGAAGAAACTTCAAATAATAACATCCAAGTGAGAGTATAGTATCATCTAACATAAATGAAGCAATATAATAGTTTAACGCGATTGTAAAAAAATGGGGTCTAATGGAAAGCTTGCCGGCAAATGCCTGATATTTCATATATAAACGTATAAGCTCTATAAAGATTGCACAGAAAACTGAAATGAGATAATGAACTATGGACAGAAAAGACAACGTCTGAGGTTTATAGAAACCCAAAGAAAATTCTTTTCCAGGGACAAACAAACAGTGAACATAGTCTGTAATATGCAGTGTGCAGATGTTTTTCTGCTGCAAGAGTTAAAACTTGTGTTCACAAATGATGGTATAATAAAGTGATAAAAAGAAGTAGGGTTATAACAATATAGTTCGTCACGCAATACACATTGTGGGACGTTTAATTGGCCCTGACTTTCAATTTCAATTGGATAGTGACCAAAACATAATGCCATTCTGAATAGGAAATATATGGAGGAGAAGGAAAGAGCAGATGATATAATAATAGTAACTTGACAAGAAACGATTTATAAGCATAATTAAGTGGATTATTTTGGGGGGAACATACCAGGGGTTTCGACAGAAGATTGGTCTGTCTTCTTCTCAAAATCACTGACCAAATATATGGTAATATTTTTCCCAAATATGCACCACTTCATTATGCTTATAAACTGTATTTTGTCAAGTTACTATTACATTAGAATAACATGCTTCCATACACAAGATGATATAATAGTTATGTAATGGTAAGCTCAAAACTCCAGATGCTAAGTGAATTGAAAATGCATGCACCAGTTGAAAAGCAATATTGCAAAACAGAAGCTAACTAATGTTTAGCAGTATTTAGGAAAGTTACCGCAAAAACGGAAAGAAGTACCGGTTGTTACTCTCCAAACAGAGACAGCATATATTACTGATGTATGAAGTTATATACTTAAGATTGATACTTATAAAACTGCTGCACATAAAAGACAAATAAAACTAACGTACAGACTAAAGCATAGAAAAGGTAACATGCACATTAGCCAGAAAAGTATCTGAAGAAAAAGAACTCACTCGCCAGTAGAAACAAGTAAAGAAAAAAGTAGAAGAAAGTAAAATATAATATTAATAAGAACCAAGAGTAGATATGAGTGATCAAATCTTCAACGTCCCTCACCTAATTCACTCCAAGCCTATAACACACAACGTCCCTCGCCTAATCTTCTCCAAGTCCATAACACATAACGTCCCTCGCCTAATTCACTCCAAACCTAGAGCCCACAACGTTCCTCATATTAATTCACTTTCTACAGCCAATTGTAGGAAGATATACATAATGGTGTCACAGTTTGTTTTTGATTTGAGGAAACTAATAACTACTATTTCAGGAGTACATGTGTATTGTTTTATTCAGTACAAGCAAAACTACCATGAAAGCGGCAAATTGACAAAAAATCTTATAATTTTATAAAATTACAGACTTATCTATTTCACAATATAGCTATTAGAGAGGCAGAGTCTGAAGTACATAAGTAGTTATAAACAATTATATCAAATGCATTTGACACACATATATCGGACAGGCTATTTTAGTTTCACAGACCTTAGATATGGCTTTTAGAAAAATTACAACTCTGATCTTTAGGTTAACACCGGCTGAATGAATGTTACGTAGCTAGAGTTACCATTTCAGCACACAGAATCACTTGTGCAATTTGAGAGTTGATTTAAGCATGTTAATGACTGGATCAAGTCACTTGAAATAAAAACACGTGAGTAACATGAGCCTGTCTTCGGGAATGTTATATGTGAGTTACGGGGGTGTTGAACACAGCTGTTGTGATGACGCTGTGGCATCAACGTGGAGGCGGGTGAGAGAGATGTTTAGATTCCGCTTCAAGATGGACCCGAGCCACGCGGGGCAAATTTTGGAATGGGAGGGTACAGAGGAAGCATAAGCGGAAGTGGGAAGGTGGTCCAGCTGTATTATTATCAAGTTTCACTCTCCCGACCAACAATAATCAAACCCAATCCCCCACGGACAAGTCATCTTGAGAGAGAAATCAACGGCATGCTTTACATCACGTGGAGTAGCGTACTTCACCTTCAGATGCTCGTTGCTCATGAGATGAAACTGAAGGCCTTGGACAAGACCTGTTTCAGCTTACGGATGCGAATAAAAACACGTTTTCCTAATTATATTTAAAATTTTACTTAAATATTTTGTGTTTAGTAAATTAAGTTCAAAGTAATAATCAGTAATTTACTTTAGTCACCTAGTGACAAGATAAATCATAGTGTTTTTTTAAGTACTACGTCATATGTTTATGCAGAAACCTCATGTCATACAGGCCTGGCATGGCCAGGTAGTTAGGGCGCTCGACTTGCAATATGCGGGTCGTGGGTTCGAATCCCCGTCCCACCAGTCATCTTCGTCTTTTCAGACGTGGGAACGTTATAATGTGACTGTAAAATAGTAACCCAAGAGTTGGCTACCTTTCACCCCTAAATTAGGGACGGCTGACAATTTATTCTTAAAAAGTTTGCCTTTGATCAGATTCTACAGGAAATGTCCTAAAACACTGTTTGTGTGACAGTTTACTTTAAAACGTTTGCCTTTGATCAGTTTCTGTAACCCATGATTCTACAGGAAATGTCCTAAAACATTGTTTGTGTGACAGTTTACTCTAAAACGTTTGCCTTAGATCAGTTTCTGTAACTCGTGATTCTACAGGTAATGTCCTAAAACACTGCCTTAGATCAGTTTCTGTAACTCGCGATTCTACAGGAAATGTCCTAAAACACTGCCTTGGATTAGTTTCTGTAACTCGCGATTCTACAGGAAATGTCCTAAAACACTGCCTTGGATCAGTTTCTGTAACTCGTGATTCTACAGGAAATGTCCTAAAACACTGCCTTGGATCAGTTTCTGTAACTCACGATTCTACAGGAAATGTCCTAAAACACTGCCTTGGATAAGTTTCTGTAACTCGTGATTCTACAGGAAATGTCCTAAAACACTGTTTGTGTGACAGTTTAATCTAAAACCTTTGCCTTAGTTTCAGTAACCTACACCTCTCGGAGAAATGACCTAAAACAATTTACTTTAAAAACTCTACTTTAGCACAGCTTCTGTAACTCATAACTCTAAAACAGAAATCCTAAAATTGCTTATGTGTAAATTGCATGACTCTACATCTATAAGGGTTTCCCGCACTATTTGTCTACCATGTTTTTCCGCATACATACATATAGAATTAACTCTGGAAATGTTTGTTTAGCATATTTCCCCTAACTTTTCTTATAGTTCTGTTCGTCTAATATGCGATTCCATATGACTATCCAAACGCACAAGACGTCCAACTTTGTCTGTATAGAATTTTCCAATACTACTTGTTTCTAACCTTTGTTTCTTCGCTGACATAACTGCTCAAATACACAACTATGGACCTACCAGTTCTCTAATTACAGCATGTAATGTGTTTCTACTATTTTTTTCTTGTTTAACAATGTGGAATAGAATTCTATCAGCTACAATTTTTATCCTGTTTCAAACATTTTCATTATCTCCTTATCACAGTATGTCCTTTTCTTTACTTTCATTACTTAAAAATATTAAAATAATATCTGGAATCTAGGGATAAAACATACGTTTAATACATGTGGATTTAAAGTGCGTGTTTTGCGTATATTCAAGTAAATATAGCTCTTCTCACTTACCAAAGTTGTGTAATCTTGATCAAAATCTATTAAATTGAACACCTAACTCACTGAGCTTCAACAGTGCTTATCCCACATGTTGAGATATTATTATAACAGATAAAAGAAACTGAATAAATAATGGAAAATAAACCGAAAAAATCTAACAAGAAAACGTGGAGTAGGATAAAGCATAAATGAGTAGAATAATGTATAAATGAAAATAAATTAAATGAGATAAAATTGAATGTTGTGAAGAAAAGAGCGTTTATATACACTGAGAAAAGGCAAATTTTCTTCTGAAGTTGACTCTGACGCCATAAGGAGTCAACTTAGGAAGAAAGTCGGCTTCCTTTTTATATCGTTTAATTTTCTCTCTAACGTCATATTTTAACCGTTTCTATTGAGTTGAAAAAAGCGGAGTAGTAATTAAGAACAGTTATTTATCCAATAAAATAACTTATCAAGTTTTAGGTGTAAAAACCCTGTATATTTCGACAGATATAAGAACGTATAGGCCAGTTACTTACCTTCACATCAAACAGCACACACACCACCTGAAAGATAATTAAATAAATGTTGATAATCAGTTTAGTCCCTGCCATAAAACAGCGTATTGTAACGCAAACACATTAATGGTAAGCCAGTAAGTATGAATTTTTTGACAGCTCTACACTATATTAATTTATGTCAGTGTATTTCTGTGCATCATATTGAAGTAAAAACACAGAACCAAGCTTACCAGAAGAGGGCGTTTCAAATATGGTTATGCACTATTCGCCTCTCATTATCCCTCAAAGCAAAAAAAAAATATTCAGTTTGTCACTTGTTTACGAAGCGTAATAGGATTACTCATATTTTTGCAACCACGGAAGTGTTTGTTTGTTTGTTTAATTCTGCGCAAAGCTAAACGAGGGCTATCTGCGCAAGCTGTTCCTAGTAATAGACTAGAGCTGTGGTTTCCAAACTGTGTGTCGCAGCAAGTTACTAGTGGTGTCTCCAGAGTTTAACCAACCAAAGAATAATTAAGAACATAAACAAAAATTCTACAAATATATATATATATATTACATATGGTAGCAGGGATAGCGCGCAAATCGAGGTAAGTGGGTCAGGGTGTCGTCAGTGGATAAAGGATTGGAACCATTGGACTAGAGGAAAGGCAGTTATTTAACACCCACTGCCAACTCCTGAGCTACTCTTATCAGCTCGAATCATAAGAACTTTAAGTGAAAGTAAAGAAGAGTGTATAGTAATATATCAACTACATCAGACCTGTTATATCCAGTACCGCAAAGGCCTTTCGCCCAATACCAGAGTTCTTCGGGCTGGTTGAAATATGACAAACGTGGTATGGTTTAGTTTTTTGAACGTTATTTCATTGTATTCCATCAAAAGAATAAGCTGACCAAGAGAATATTTACGACCTTTCTTAAGACACCTAATAGGATGGGAATGTGTACAAAGTGTTGTTTAAGAGATTAATGACAGAAATTATGCAGTAATATTAAAAAATACAAGTAGTGGGATATATTATGCGTGGGGATAGGTAGTGAGCTCAAATATATTGTTGAATCATTGTGTTGGATAAATATAGTAAAGTAAATGAATCTTTACGTGTTTCATCATCTTCACACTTGTGTCGTATAGGTAGATATTTTGGTTTAAAACCAGGGGTGGTCATAAATCAACTTGGATTTGAACGCGAGACTTACACATGAAAGTTAAAGGTTGTAACCACCGGAGCCACTTTAACATTAACAATTCGCAGCTCTGGTTGAGATGCTATTAGTATTAGAAAATCGCCTTACAACAACTGTTTCGGTGTGGTATGGATTAATGTAGTGACATCTAATTATTATAAATTCCTATTTAAGTAATTACACATCAGAATAAAGGTAAATAATCTATAACATTATAATATTTTACGAATTTTACCTATTGTTTACTGCTATTGTTTTATTTGATTTAACCTATTATGAATAGCGATATTTAACCGTCTCTCATATAATGCACCCACGACTCAAAGCGTTGAAAGTATTTTTTTTAACGGTAACGGTACGCAAATTAAGGGGCCTCAGATCCAGAAACCAGGGTAGTGAGGATTTATTTGCAAAAAAAAATCAACTTTAATAGATTTACTTGAAAAAAAAGGTATTTCATTATATGAAAAGTGTTTTGGTTGTCTTTTACTCACCACTATGAGCCTATATTTTTGTGGGATTTCAATAGCAAGCAACATTGATGCTACTAATTCGTTAATGTGGATTGTTCAGTAGATACCATTTTAAAGTATTTATGTTGAAAAAATAATTGGTTTCTAGGTATCTAATACCTAGATTTGGCTTCAGTCATGTAACAGAAGTTATATTTTTTGGTGTACAGCATGGTTAAACTGTATAATACGTTAACTATTAAATAACTAATTATATAAAGAAAAATATAAACTTTTAGTAGGATATGCATGATATTTTTGTTTTATAAATAACGTTTATAAAGTTTAAATTCATTATTAAAGGATTCGAGCTTGATAAGGTTATTAGTATGGTTTTTCTGATGGCAAGTAATATATAATCACTTAATTATATGTTATATGAAATTAGAGTTTATTTCATCAAATCCTAAATTATGCAAAAAAAAAAATAACAGACTGAACAATACAATTTCATAACTGAAGCAGTTTAAGTAGTTAAACAACAAGAAAACTTAATAGCTAAGCAATTTAAGTATCATAACAACAATAAAATTTGATAGTCGAAACGATTTAAATAGTAAACCAACAATAAAAATCCATAGTTAAATGGTTTAAATTGTATAGCAACAACAAAACTTGTTTTTATATATGTTGAAGTAATATAACATGGTACGTAAATGATTTTTTTAGCAGTTTGAAAGTTCTCTTGTCGGAATACAGAAAACGTGTTTGCTATCACTGCTGCCATTTTAAGAATGAATTTCTTTTTTCAAGAATATAATCTCCATCTAACGAATAATTAGTGTAAAGCGCATTTATTCTTGATAGTGAACAGTTTGGTTTACTTTGAATTTCACGCAAATCTACACGAGGGCTATCTGCGCTAGCCGTCCCTAATTTAGCAGTGTAAGACTAGAGGAAAGACAACTAGTCATCACCACCCACCCCAACTCTTGGGCTACTCTTTTACCAACGAATAATGGGATTGACCGTCACATTATAACGCTCCGACGGCTGAAAGGGCGAGCATGTTTGGTGGTACGGGGATTCGAATCCACGACCCGCAGATTGCGAGTCGAGCTCCCTGACCACCTGGCCATGCCGGGGCCTTTTGTTTTTAAGACTTATAATGTAAGGAAATTAACATGTAGACTTATACACGGAATTTTCTCTACGTTAAAATATTTTTATTTGCGAGTTGCTCGATGAATGCTCCGGTAAGTGGGCCGAAAACTCGACAAAAAATATTTTAACGTAAAGAAAAGTCCGTGTATAACACTACATAACACTAAAACGTTATGTCTAAACGGTTTAAATGGTATAACAACAACAAAACATGAAACATTTATAGTTTTGTTTTCTTTTATAGATGTTATAGGTATACCAAATACTCCGCTATACTAGAGGGGTTGATAAAACAGGCAACAACATTATAACTAATCCCCAAACTACTCAGCAACAGACCCCTTTCCACCTTTATCCACATAAGAAAACCCTGTTTACCAAAATAATACACACTCATTCATATAAATAAACGTTTACTAATATAACTAGCTTCGGCTTAGATCCGATTTACTAATGTGAGGTGGCAAGGATTTTTTTTAAACCAGTATAACCCAAAAAAGTGGACTAAATTATAGAATGTAAATTTTTTTTTATCACACGGCTACATAATGGACACTGCTTATGTCGCGGGAACCGAGCCCCCGAATTCTAGCATTATAAACCCCCAAGTTTACCACTGAGTTACCAGAGAAGCTACCAGGTCTTCTAACGTATTTTTGTTAAAAATCAGAATGAGAACATTGGAAACTAAAAAGCAGATGAACTGGCTAAAGTCTAGACTAAACGAAGTACAGATTACAGATCTGTTTTAGATTGTAGTAACTGGAAGATGAGATGTCCCCGGTATAACTTGATATTCCCCATTACACTTGTCATTAACGTGCTAATTTTGGTTCGGTATTCGAACCAGTGATTTCAAACTAAATATCACGCCCACATGGAATAGTCATGAAGAGGTGAAAAAGATATTTGTTGATTTTTTTTGTCCGATTATCCATAAAACTAGCTAATATTTCAAGAACAAGATAATTGCAAGTATAAAGACAAGTAATTGAATAAAGCTGCATAGAAATTGCATGTGTCTAGATCCTAAATAAATTCTTTTAAATACAATACAAAAAAAACATTCTTATTGTAACTTGTTATTTTATAACTTAATTCTGATTTTCGTCTTTCACTTTATCAAAAAATACCGATTTCGTGAGCAATATATTACATAGAATGATACTTAGTATACATATGCATATATACGTGTAAGTGTGAAACAAGTAGATGTTATAAATCATGAGCAGTATATGATACATTCACATATTTCAGTTGGTTCCATGTATATATCTTTCATAACAATGTAGATAAAAACAAGTCTACAAAGTTAATAATAGTAAGTTTTTCAGGGAAGAAAGAGAAGTACGTGAGAAGCACGGGAGAGGATACGAGATAATTCTATTTTAGACATTTCATGATATATTCTGGGTCGCTTAGATAAATTCCATTTTATAGCATGCTACAAACGCTTGCATAAAAAAAAACGGTCCTTTTTTTCAGCTGCCTGCGAAACAATAGATTTGTGGCTGTTATACATGTGTCCTAAATAAGAGTTATGTATCGTGACACATACACGTTAACAAACACGAAATGTTTCACCGGAAAAGTAGAACAGAAATGGTTTGAAGAAACGGCGAAGTATGCAGATATTTACACGCGTAATGTATTCTTTTCATAACGCCTTTTTTTTCGCACCTGTATCTATATATACGTCTACTGTATATGAATACAGACGAGTTTATCTAAATCAACATGCGTGTATACACAAAATTTTATACCAAATAACCCATTAATAATTAAGTAAGTTTTGACTACAGTTTCGATCCCTGTACGGAAAGCCACAAGAGTAGTCGAGCCTAACAGAGCGAGACGTCGTGCGAAGGTTAAGATTGGAATGTTGTTTACAGTTTTAGAATTCCACTCTTAACCCTACTCTCCATCGGCTTTTAAAACATATTTCTTGAAACTATTTTTGCACCAAGTTATTTGTAGGGTTATAACTTCGTTGTGTAAGGGGTCTCTAATAATATATGAGTCACATAAAATGTGATCATAAATACCATCGATACTGCAATTAATGTCACTATTTACTACTGGAGTTTCTTATGTATTTTGCATAGAAAATGAGCAATTGCATCCAGTCTTTAGTAATATATGGCATTGAGTGTTGAAACATGAAAATGATAGAATAGATCAATATCATGTAATATGATGTGTGCGCGGGACACACCGCTATTGAATGATATAAAAAGTAAGTTGGTAAAACTGATAAGAAATTCCAACTGCTGTGTTCCTATTGTGGATTCTGCCTAGCTGCTGCCTTTAGGGATTTGAAATTAATTTATCTCACTATTCTGTATTTGATCCATATCTCTGTTTTAAGTCCTATTTATTTTATTGTATTGATATTTTTTTCTCAAATAATTGGATTTACACTCAATACCTTGTTGGATTTATTTATTTCAAACCCTTCCTGGTTAAAGAGTATTACACACACACACACACATATACATATATTTATATATATATACAACTCAAACTTAACAGAGAATTGAATGTACTAGTTTTTTGTCAGAAATTATAACATTGAAACGTCCTCTTACATTAATGCGTTTCTTCGTCATTATTGCTTAAAATGACCATGTTTGTTCCAAAGAAGGTACTGTCTTAGTTTGATCAATATTGGCTTCTCAGTGCACTTGGAGACTTTCTGAGAAATATTAGGCTCAACACAGGAGGCTACAAGCTTACTGAAAGTAAAAGAACAGTTAGAAAAATGAATGTGCTCCCCAGTGATTCAGCGGTATGTCTTGCGGATATATAGCGCTAAAAATCGGGTTTCGATACCCGTGGCGGGTACAGCACAAAAATCCCATTATGTAGCTTAATGAGTTTGCATCCTTTTTGCAATGTTGTGAAGAGGATCAATGATTTTTGGGGATTGCAAGGATGTGAGAATGACTCAGGACCCTTATAGGTATAAAGTTTAAGTGATGTTTTTGTAAACATGACCTTCTTCTAATGTACGTGGAATGGTAGTTTATGAACAACAGCTTTACCTTATAAAGATATGCAATATACTTCAAGTGATTTAATTATGCTACTTAATTACCTTATGTAAAATCACTGCCAAATCTGCTTTTTAACGATCGTTTTCTGTAAATTCTACGACAGATAATCTTGCTGTTTGCTTATCTTTGCTTATCATGCCAGCATTTATTATGCTTAAACGGTTGGGGAATTTCTAAATTAATCATAGTTACGTAATACGCTACAATGTTTATTAGTAACACATAATTATTGTTGCATAATTGGTAACGTATAAACAATGGCACATTAAACTATTTTTTACACGTATCTTACATACAATAACATCCAGTTTGTCTATACTTAAATTAGTGCCAAAATATTGTTGTTGTTGTTGTTTAAATCCTTTACTTGTACTTAACTTGATAATATCATAGCTTTTATTTATTTTTTTAATAATTAAAACGAAAACGACAAGGAAACTGGTTTGTGTTAGCCGTCAGTTATATCATGGAAGGACACTGCCCTCTGTATAAAATACACTAGTATATACAGACTCACCCGCTAAGAGTCCCTCCCCATGGCTTTGTCAAAAATTTCTAGTCTCTCGAAGCCACCAACAGCTCCTCATATGTCCTCATGCTCTTGCGTTTTCATTAGTACAATTGCCTGGTTTGTAGTGTCAACACTTCGCAAGTATTGGCCTCTTGAGAAACGAAATTAGACGGTGGGATTCAATCATGAATTGTGATTCAATTTATCCTTTTGTTCTGCAACGTCCGTATGAGCCAGCGTGGTGCGCGCGAGGTTTCGCGCTCTGGGCTGGCCACTCCTGAACGAAAAGCTGGTAGGAGGAGTTAATCCCTATGATCGACACAGTTACCATGGCAACACAAGCCATCGGCTCACTTTGATGTTGACTAAGCGGAGGGCCTTCGATGAGAGCCAATCACGAGCGTGAAAACGGTCATTACCGGCGCCTAGAACATGATAATGTCAAGATGAATCACCTAGAGAGTGGCGTGTTTTCAAGAGTTCGTGTTGCCTGTAAATATAGGTTTGGAACAGAAGACGGTGGGTGCCTTGAGATCTCTAGTCGGGCATACTTGAATTTGCTCAGCTGACGAAACGCACGCGCCAGATTGAAGAATCCTTGAGTACTAGTGGTTGTAGAATAGTTTAGACAACTTCATCTTGCGAAGACTTGACTATCCAAGATTTCCGGTGACCAACTAATAGTAAATTAAATAGTTTCGTTTTACACCAACCAAAATTTCACCATTCAGGAGTAAGCCCATGAAGCAATCATAACTCATGATTGTAGGCCACATGAACGACAGTGTGGCGGGTCCCCACCTCTCTGTAGTTTCGAACATGCTGTCTCAGAGTTCATGCCCCAGCGTCAACCCTTCATCCCCCAGTCCCATGCTCCCATCGTTTGGATTCACACAAGAGCAGGTAGCTTGTGTCTGTGAAGTGCTTCAACAGTCCGGTAACATCGAAAGGCTCGGCCGGTTCCTTTGGTCACTACCGGCCTGCGAACATCTTCAGAAGAATGAGAGTGTGCTGAAGGCTAAAGCTCTGGTAGCCTTTCATCGAGGCAACTTCAAGGAACTGTATCGAATTCTGGAGAGTCACAACTTCTCGCCAGCGTCCCACTCGAAACTCCAAGGGCTTTGGCTCCAAGCCCATTACACCGAAGCCGAGAGGATCCGCGGCCGGCCACTGGGAGCGGTCGGCAAGTACCGGATCCGCCGAAAGTTCCCGTTACCTCGAACGATCTGGGACGGGGAAGAGACTAGTTATTGCTTCAAAGAGAAGTCACGCAACATACTTCGAGACTGGTACTCGCATAATCCCTACCCCTCGCCACGTGAGAAGCGTGAGCTAGCCGAGGCCACTGGACTGACGACCACTCAAGTCAGCAACTGGTTCAAAAACAGAAGGCAAAGGGACAGAGCGGCAGAAACAAAGGACAGGTAAAGAGATTTTCTTGTACGTTGTGTGTATTCAGTACTAAGACGCTTAAAGGCAGACACATAAACCGTGAGGGTAAATTATAACCACAACCAGCTAGTTTCAAGGACAGATTAATCATCTCCGTGTTCGTTAATATAAACGGTTATGTAAGTGCGAAGGTTGTCTTATACAGCAGTCAATGAAAACTTCTTAATACAATGCTATGCTGTTCGTTCCTTATGCATATAAGGCCCTGTAAACTGCACAAGTAAGATATTATAAACTGTCTTTAAAATCTCAAATAAAAAGCAGACGAATAAAGAGAAGTATAAGCGCGAGTCGCTGTAAAGAAATAGAAGATATTTCATATATTACATTACTCTAAAATAAGGCGTAATCTATTATTACTTTCATATTACTTTCATTAACAGAATTTATTATAATGCTTTTTATGTATTTATTTTAAATTTTGTATTATTATTCTTTTATTGTAAATGTTGTTTGGCATTGTTTGCTTAGTACGTGGACTTTAGGACTAGCTTTAACCTCCTAAGCTGGCAGGTCTTTGTAATATATCATTAGGTTTACGGCCGAAAATATCGTTAACGGTGAGGGTACCCAACTGAAACAATGCGTTCTAATCTTTATAAGCAAGAAAATAAGAAAAGTATATTTAATTAGCTATACCCCTTATCAGGTTGATTTTTAGTTATGCTCTAAGTGGGTAACTTGCTCTGATTGGAAGTTGATATCAATTATACTGTTGTCAGTTTTATAAGTGTACGTTCTTCTCTCTTTTTATTATTTTCAGAGGTTGCAATGTTATTAAAATTCACTAAGCAATGTTACTATTGTTCCTCAGAAATTATTGTTTTTTTAATCGTTTTATTACAAAATATCGTCCTCTAAGTCATTTTTGTTTGTACACTGCGCATGTGCAGATATTTCTATATGTATACATGTTTGTATATATGTATATACATACTGGAAACAAATGCTATTTATTCACTACAAGAAAATAATTAAATAGTAAAAAAACATTTTTTTGTCATGCATCTTTTTATTTCGTTCTTAAATTTATCCCTATAACGATTTTTATAAAAGAAGGCTTAGGATTATGCGTGAAATTATAGCAGATAGACTACATCGTATAGTTATAAAATCTCCCATCATGCAATGTTAATATAGGACAAAGTTACATGGATTAGTTTTGAGTACAGTAATTTATTCTATTAATATATTTCAACTGTTCAACTATCGAATCCACTGTTAAGACATGTACGAGTCAATATGAAATATAAATTATTTCAGCATTTCAAGTTCTTAAATAAAGTACTAATGTATTTTATATGGAAATGATTGAAAACCGAAAATTGTGGTCAAAAGAAGAGACTGCGCGAAGGAACAGTAAAACTATTTACTAACATTTTAAGTTATTAGGGTATATTAAACATTTACATATATACATATATATATATTAACAAAAATAAATCCACCACATTTGTATATACCTTTAAATAGTGTATGAACCACAATTATGCAACATAGATTCGTTCCAGACGAATATACATACACAAACACACATATACATAAAACTGAGACTGAGTAATAGAAAAACTAATATTTCATCGTTAAGATAAAACTTTTATTACTGTTGTGCATTGGAGGTCAGAGGACACGTAAAGAAATTATTTTCAAAGAACAAATTGTAAACATAGATAGATAGAAATGGTCATATAAGTACATTATATAGTTTTACACTTTTATTTTTGAAAGCAGTCACATCACTGAGATGAGAAATAGATATAGGTAAACCGTGTAGAAAAATAAAACTTAATGTGTTTTTAATACGTAATTACTGTTTAACTTATGCTTTAAAGCCAGCACTTGTAACTTACATGGGTGGCACTATATAATTCGCTTTTAGTCTGCATTGAGTAAATTTCACGAAGTTTCTGGTGTGGCCCTAACCTTAATTAACCATAGCTACGTAACTTTTAGTGCCAAAAATTAGGTTTCAGGCATCATTTATAAGTCACATTAAATCTGAGCGAGAAACACCCATCTAATGTTATTTATAAAATAAGTTTACATCTAACTTAAGCGAAACATGTTAAAATGACAGGAATTTCAAATATATATATATATATATCGATACGGCTAGGCTTAGCATTTGAATAAGAAACATCTCTCAAGAACATGTAAAATGAATGGGGTAGAAATTCAATAGTCATGTCTTTTAATGTTTTCAGAATGCATTTAATGTATTCTCAAATTACCGGCTTGTTTTAACACAACTCGTTACCAGTGGGTCCTACATAATGCATCACGTTGAGTGATTTTATGTTTTTATATGTTACACCCTCTGTGTTAAAACTGAGCAAAATAAGATTGGAGAAATCACTCGTTTTCTATGTCAGGTACATAGAAGGAGTACAGTAATAGTTAGTGATATTAATTAATTGCGATACTAATGGTATTTCTGTTTACATTTTTTATAGGTCACAAACTAATTGTAGCATAAATAATACAGAAAAATTAGCTTAAAAAGCTTGTAAGATCTTCTATCTGTAAATCATGTGTTAAAACCCCATTGCCGATTAAAAACTTTTCAGTTACTGATTCTATTAAGTTTTTTTCTGTGATATGTATAACGTTCTAATACGCGTTGTTTGCCTTTTTTTTAGCGCAAAGCGATGTTTGCCTCTTTTTTAGCGCAAAGCCACACAATGGACTATCCGAGTTCTATTAACCGCACGGAATCGAACCCCGGATTCCAATGTTGTAAGTCCGAAAACTTACCACTGATTCATCGGAGGTAAGGTTTAATTTGCAAAGTTATTCATCAACTTATCAAAATTTTAGATGTTTTCCATTAGCAATACTTTTCTTACCAACGCTTCTAATAATATATTGAATATTTTTCCAGTTTTCAGAAATATGTATTGTATTATAAACATTATTTTTCGGGTTATTTTCATACCTGAATAATTGTTATTATTCGGTGTCAGAATATATTTGTAAAAGTTGTTGTTGACACAGTCGAAACAGCTCGATGTCCTGAACATTGATGTTAAGGAGTAAGAATTAACAGTATCTATAAGAATACCTAAGTGAAAGAAAACACTTGCTATATCTAGGGCCAAAGAGGCTTTTCGACCAATATCAGAACTATTAACGCCGGCTGAGGTATAACAGACATAGTAGTGGTTGAGATATTTATTTATATTAGCAAACAGTTTGATAAACAACTGGTTTGGTGTGATCTGGATTAGGATCATTTGGATAAGGATTTATTAACATTATTACATTATTATATTTCTATATTTCAACACCAAATTGTTTATTATAACTATTTATTTATTTGCTATCATAAAGTATTTTCAGAATTCATCATCAGAACCAACGGTTTTACAAAGTTAGAAATATTTACACATTGAATAGCATTTAAGTTTTAGAGTGAAGAAATACAAATGATGTTTAACGTAACGATAAAAAAAATAATTATGTGTGAAAAACAAGAGTTACTCATGAGCGCCAGCTTCTGATCGTTTATCCTAGTTCTGAAATCACCTATTTATATGTTTCCCGGCAGGTTAGAGGTAATTTTACAGACTTACAACGCTAAAATCTGGGGCTAGATTCCCCGCGGTGGACAGAGTGCGGATAGCTTTTGTGTTAAAACAAACAAACCAAATCTAATTATATAAATATATATACTTGCATTATGTAAGCTACAAAATGGAGTATTATAAGTTTCTATAGTAAACACATAAATATTATTATAATGCTTAGAAAGAACGTTTCTGATACTGAGTCAAGTGTTGCTAAACTAATTGTAAACATATAAATATGAAAAACTGGGCAAACATATTGAAAAATAACTCAACTCAACCAATAAAGCTGCGTATTTTGGAACACTAAAATAACAGATGATTTGTTTGCTTTTCATAATAAAAACTACGAACTGATTTTGGTGCTCAAACTATAGTTCGCGAGAAGATGTAATAGCTAAACATATTATACAAAATATATAAAATAAAAGTGACCAATTTATCTCAAACAGACTGTGGTACTGTTGGAGTCTCCAAGATTCATCCTGACATCGGTAAATTACTGGAGGAGAAGTAGACTAATATTAACTATGAACAAACAACAAAGTTAACAGTTAAGGATAACATAAAACAATAATCTGGCCTGGCAAGAATTTCCCAACATTTGTTTCCTTCACCAACATGTTTGAAAACGTCTGTTTAAAGGCTTTAAAAAAATAAAAAATAAAAAGAAATAATGACATTTATGTAAATGAAGGAAGGCCCTGTGGTTTAATAAGAAAACGTTTTTTCCATTTAATGGTGTTCACTACATCTGTTTACCTGTCTGGCCCACCTAAAACTTTATCAGGAAGTATTTTTCATGGTTATATCAAAATTCTACCTATCTTATTTTGTGAATACAATCTACTGACACCGAAAGCCGATTATTAGAATCTCCACATAAGTGTACACGCGGATAGGCTTGAATGTAATCTGTTTCTGCTCGTGACTTCATATTGAACTTATTTTTTTATTATTTTTACTTATCCTAAATTTTTTGTACTTTTTTTTTAACTTACTTGTCATGGCCTAACAGCTTTTCGTAGTAAATAGACAAATGGTACGATTGTAGATTGTGTCATTCCACTCCATTAACTTTCCTCGTCTTAATAGTGTCTTCCTTAATTTGAAATCAGTATATAAGTTATTTTTGGGGGTAAAATATAATTTTTAGTTTTAAATCTCCTTCAGCGTTTTAAGCCCGCGTAGTGTTCGTATTAAGTGCCCGATCAACACATATATAGGTGCACAGCCAACACATAGTAGCATATAAAACATAATTTCAATCACTATTTACCACTTTATTAAAACGATCAGACTCAGACTTGAGGTTCATTTAGCTATTACATATCTACTTTTGTGAATATCGATACTGTACTCTATATGCTACTTGCTAAATAAGTGTAGGATTTGCGGTAAAGTTG